TAGGACACAATTTTCTATCATTAGATTGGCCCACACCCACAGTACGCATGGGCCACGTGACACTGGAAGATGACCTGCTATGTGAAGGGCTGGTTTCACAAGTGTGTTACAGAGTGAAGAAGGTTTACAGTCATTGCTTTGATATACTCTGGGAGTCTGAAATTCTGGAAAGCTATTAAATAAGCTTGTGCCACCAAAAAACGAATCCACTTACTACCAAAGGATGTTAAGCTGGGTGGATATCTCTCTACCAGTTTCTTTGTGCCTTGCTTGTGCCTCTGAAGCACTATTTTATTATTGAAGAATTCAAAACATGAAGACAAGCTGTTGAAAGTCAGAGAGGAAAGGCAACCTTGAGTTATGCCCAACAGCTATTCTGTCTCTTTGATGTTAAAAATCAATTGCCCAAGGAGCAAAGGAGAAAACCTTTCAATCACATTCTTAGATCTCATAGCATTTTACATTCGAACCTAGAGCAGGAAAGTCTGGCAAAAAAAAAAAAAGTGACCCTTGTATGGGAGGAAAGATCATGATCGTAGTCATTCTTTGTTCTTCTTAAAAATTGTTCATAACTTCAACCACATGACATGCAATGACTTTACTCCAATTTACCACTGTGGTTCACGAAAATTAAATTTATCATACAATTGATTTTAAATAAGGCATCTAACATATTTTAAACATGACAGAGGAAAACATATATATGTTGTCCTTTTTAAACTTCCACTTTCTATAAAATGTGTTAATAGCAAGATACTGCAGAATGGACTGAAATACATTTCAAGATCACAGAACATCTTAATCATCTTTAGAGCAGTAACTTTTTGTCAACTTGGAGCTCATGAATTTAGAAAGAAAACACAACTGAAGAGCAGACATTGATGAAGGCTATTCACTTTTCACAATATTAACATGTTAATGCTTTATTTGTACAGAAACAATAGCACTAATTACAGTGGAACCTTACAGCATTCAATGAAATATTCGTAAGCACTAAGGGCATGTATACTGATGAGCACTGAGTAATGCACAGAATTGTTCAATGGCTCTACCAAGCTAATATAACAGTGTATGTTAATTACACTTGCATTAAAAAAATGGTAAAAACCAATTCAATAGCACTTAGTTGACATGAAAGAAGATAATTTCAGACACTCTTAAAATGTTAGTGCCATAGAGGCAGTAAAGATAATTTAGAATATTTATCAATTTTCAAATTTGGAAACTGAGGCTCAGAGAGGTAAAGTACTCCTTACCCAAGTCTGGGCAGCTGGTTAACTATGGAGGAAGGTCTAGAACCAGGTCTCCTAGCTCCCTGTCAAATGCTCTTAATATCACACTACAGAGTACCTGAATCCCAAAGCAAATCAAATCCAGGCATGCTGTATGAATGACTGCATCATACAGTGACCTGTCCTAAGCCCTAGAAAAGAAATGGGCATAGAAAGAAGACACTGCTTTTCTTAAAGAAACTTACAGTCTTGTGAAGAAAACAAACCTGAAAAATTGTTTAAGTTGTAGTTTCAGATCTTAATTCAAGAAATAAAAATATGTGACTATTTTGCATGTTGATGTGTGTTCCCATAAAAATTAGGGGAGCTCTGAGGAAACATGACTCCTATGAGAAGGGGAGACGGAGAAATGTCGGGGGAGGAAATGGGAGTTGAATTGGATCTTGCAAACTGGGGAGGATTTGTAAGGGGAGAAAGAAAAGACGGCATTTTAGGAAGATGGAACTGTGTGAACAGATACACATTCTACTTGTATCTGTAAAGAGCTCTGCAAAACAACATACTATGTTATCACTCGTATTAGGTAAGTGATACTGTCGCTTAGTGTAAGGGCGATTTTCATCAAGAAGAGCATTAAATGTTTATTATCTGTCCTGGTGAACTGGGAAAAAGATAGGATCTGGGAACAATGAATGCAATGCTTTATTTACAGCTGACCCTTGAACAACGTGGGTTTGAACTGCGCAGGTCCACTTATACACAGGCTTTTTTTCAATAAGCACAGCGCAGCACTGTAAATTTATCTTCTCTTACTATTTTCTTAATAACATCTTCTTTCTCTAGCTTCCTTGATTGTGAGACTACAGTATATAATACATATAATACACAAAATATATGCTAATCAACTGTTTATGTTATCAGTAAGGCATCCAGTCAACAGTAGGCTGTTAGTTACATTTTGGGGGAGTCCATATGTGGATTTCTGATTGCACAGATGGTCAGCACCCCTACCCCCCACATTGTTCAAGGGTCAACTGTATTTGCTTGCTTATACCTCATAATTCCACAAAGAAATTGAGGTAGCTTTAAAAATTGGAAATAAACTAAGGAAAATGATAAGCCCAGGAATAAAAGCAGCACCCACAGAAAAGCAGACTATACAGTCCAGATGGCTGTTAGTCAGAGGTGGGGGCCAGAGGGATGGAAATAGAGTTGACCCTTTTTAAGGATTTACAAGATTTTTCCTGCGTTAGATTAAAAATAAGGCAAAAGCTTGCAATTCAGAAGAAGTGGAGCATTTCCTAATACTGAGATGAGAGAAATTTCTCGTGAGTCCTCATAAAGGAGCCACTGAATGATGCAGTAGGTGCTGTCCTTAACCCCACCCACCCCTGAGTCTATAGTTATGAAGAGTAATTTCACATGGTGGTCCTCATACTGCCACTCAGTGTAGGACAAACACATCACATTTAGGTATGACCATTTACAAAACAGTGTGGCCCACACGCTTGGTCCTCCCATAATAGAAGAGGAAAATTTAGACTATGTACTGGATTGGAGGGACTATATATTCTTCAGTTCATATGGATTCATTTATTCACTCAAAATTTATTGATTGCATACAACGTGACAGACTTGGGAATATAGCCATGAATAGAAGGGATGGTCATGCTCGTGAGTTAAATATTCTAGTGGTGGGAGAAGGATCATAGACAAACATATGTCAGGGGTGCGTGGGTGGCTCAGTCATTTAAACGTCTGCCTTTGGCTCAGGTCATGATCCCGGAGTCCTGGGATCGAGTCCCACATTGGGCTCCCTGCTCAGCGGGGAGTCTGCTTCTCCCTCTACGCACCACCCCCTGCCCCCAGCTCATGCTCTCTCTCTCAAATAAATAAAATCTTAAAAAAAAAAAAAGTATGTTAGATGATGATAAATGCTATTGGGAAAAATAAGGCAGGACAAGGTGCGAGAGAACACGATGGGCGGTGTGAGGTTGGTAGTTAGAAAGGGTAATCACAGACAAGCCCTCTGATGGGGTCATGTTTGTGCAGAAACCAGCATGATAGGAGGAAGGACACTCTAAGACGTCTGGGAGAGAAGTGCTGCAGGCAAAGGGAACAGTTAGTGCAAAAGCCCCAGGAGAGAAACATGCTTGGCATGTCTGAGTAATGGCACGACACCCAGCCAGGCAGAGGCAGGGGAAAGGTCTTATGAAAATGAACGAAACAGGAGGAGGTGAGAAAAAGGAACAATGGCAGAGTCAATCTTTGCTTCAGAAATCTCCTATTGTGCCTGTTTCAACACAAGCCAGAGGTAGTTGAGGATGGCCAGTGTATACCATAGAACACGACCATCCTTCTGTCAGCTTAACCACTGTGCTAAAACATGCCCTGAAATCACCCACCACAGGCATGGGCTTTTGTCTAAAGCCCAACTACACTATATGGAGAATATTAGAGCATGAAAACTAAGCATATAATTTCTGACACTTAAATATCCACAGAAAGTTCTAAATTGGCTTCCTGGTGAAACCTCCAAAGTTTTTTGAATGCAAATCGCACCTTTATGTAACTCACATGCAGTATCAAATCATTCATTACATTTAAGCCAACGGAATGCTACAGGGCACCTTTTGAAGGTGTTGACTTTGATTTTAAAAGACAATCTGGCAATTGTGTGATAGGAGAATCCACGGTCTATTGAAGGCACTTATGTGTGTCAATAAAACAGTATCATCAATTTAGAGAAGACCATTTATGTTTGTTTCCCCTTAGCAGGCGACATGCATCCAGAATGCTGAAAAATAGTATCCGATCATTTAGACACAAGCGAAGAGAAGGAGTGGAATAAAAAATATCCCTTTATGCCATGAGAAATGTTGTCTCTTCGGAGCCTGTTCTATAAGACTCATGTGATCTTTTAACAGGTACTGAGACACAGGATCTATTAAGATTATCAATAATTGGGGGCTCCTGGGTGGCTCAGTCGTTAAGCGTCTGCCTTTGGCTCAGGTCATGATCCCAGGGTCCTGGGATCGAGCCCCGCATTGGGCTCCCTGCTCAGCGGGAAGCCTGCTTCTCCCTCTCCCACTCCCTCTGCTTGTGTTCCCTCTCTTGCTGTCTCTCTCTCTCTGTCAAATAAATAAATAAAATCTTAAAAAATAAAAAAAGATTATCAATAATTGGTTGCATATTGAGTTTGGAGATCTGACTTCATCTGCAATTCCCCAGAAAAAATGTAAGTAAACAGCAATAAAATTAGCAAATATTGTGTATTGTTCATTTATTTAAATTTAATTTAAAAATTTTTTAAATTTTTTTTAAAATATTTTATTTATTTGAGAGAGAAGCACAGAGGGAGTGTGACAGGGAGAAGCAGACTCCCCACTGGGCAGAGAGCCTGATGTGGGGCTCAATCCCAGGACCCTAAGATCATGACCTGAGCCAAAGGCAGACGCTTAACCGACTGAGCCACCCAGGTGTCCCTTGTGTATTGTTCTTGACAGATTCTGCCTCAAAGTGACACAGAATACACCGATGACCTCTAATGGACCATCTTTGTCTAAAGGCTACTTTCACTACACCAGGAATTTTGGAGTAAGAAAGCTACGCTTGTAATTTCTGGCAAGAAGGAAACTGACATAGAGATTGGTTGTCCAATATGAGTCTATAAATTGAAACATCAGTACCAAAATCTGGATAATATTAATATATACATTCAATAGTAAAAATTTTTAAAAATCTGTGAAGTTCAAAGGACACAATTACCTGCTCAGCCAACAATGAAGCTAAGCTAGAATACGCATCTGCAAACTCGGGACCATATTTAATGGAGTCCTTCAGTAAGGAGATAGCCTCTTCCTTTTTCTCCTGGGACCTAGAGATTATAAAGAGGGGGAAAAAAACAACACCTTTTAATAACACTTTGTTTCAATCCTCTGATTGACATTGAAATCTCATTTCTTTTAGCAAAGATAACCTGATTCCCTCTGGATTTCACTGCAAATGAATTAAACTAGATTGTCTCAAGGTGCCAACAGTTTCTGTCTCTGAATTCTCAGGGGAAAGAGATGTAAATGATGCTGCAGTTTATTCACTGATTTTTCTACCTTCTCTTTCCTGCTATGCACTTTCTTGAGAGCTTTCTTTAGTATTTTAGAAGTTTGTTAACCAGAAACCTTGACACTCAGAGGAGCAATTGTGGAGGCATCAGTGGGAGCTGGTTTACAATGATGTGGAAGATGAGCTGAAGCCCTGGAGTACTAGTTGGACCCCCACAGGCTGGGCTCCGAACAGAGGCTAAGCCACCTCTCAGGGACAAGACAGCCAAACTGCTCACGTTAATCTTGGCTTTTATACCTAAGAGGCATCCATTTATACATAATATGTGAAGTTAGGAAATACTGTGACTACTGGCTGGCAAAGAATGATCGGCAATTTTATCATATTTTTATTGAAAATCTGGGCTGGTTCTGTTTTCTTCATTTTAGTCTTCTCCTGAAGGTGATTATTTCAGGTTCAGAGAGGACTCAAGGTCCCAAAGTTATTACCAGTATTTTGGGTGGCAGTTCTCTTTCCTGCTAGTGCCATGAGGGAAGCACTAGGTCATTATCTTGATATATCAATAGTTTTGAAGCCAAAAATATACACTGGCAGTGACCAATTTTGCTACTAATACAATTTCACAAACACCGACCACTTGCTAAGTGCTAGACATTGTAATTGGTAAAAGAACTGGAATGAAAAACCAGAATCCCTGAACTATAGCGAGCACAGAGCCTAAGGGTTCCCCCACCTTTACTGGGTACCAATATAGGATTGGGTGCTTCTGTTTTCACTATTTAGGGTCAACGATCATTTATTCAGCAATGTACCTTATGCTCTGGTAAATTTTCACATAACAGTATTAATTTTCACAACAATCCCATGCAGCAGGTGTTCATTGCCTATCATATTCATTTTTCTAATGAGAAAATCTGGATTTCAGAAAAGCTGAGTGACTCATCAGGTTGGTATAACCAGTCTTCTGGGTCAAGAGCCAGGGCTCCTCCATCACACCATATCTGCTTCTTCTAACTACTACTTAGAAACCCACCTCTTATAACCATCAAGGTGTTGTGTGTGTGTGATGCATGGACCAGTATCATCAACCTCACCAGGAATTTAGAAATGCAGAGCCTCCAGCCCCATCCAGGCCTCCTGAATCGAACCCTACATTTTAAAAAGATTCTCTGGTAATTTGTGTACACACTGAGATTTCAGCAGAATTGCTCCATAAATTAGCCAAGGCAGCTCAGTGTAGCTCCTGCTGCAAACCCGCCATGGCTTCGGTCTCTGTATGAGGAAGATCTGGAGAAGGAAAACTAATACTGACTCCATGAGTTTGAGCTCCAGGTGCTAGAAGCAGCATGCTGCAAGGCAATTTTACCTGGAAAAGAGTCTTCTATCACAGACCTTGAAAACAAAAAAATCGTGTTTCCTGCACAGGCTTTGCATTCAACGGTTCAATTTAGCCAACATCTATCATTGGTCTACGACGTGTTAGCTATTTCTTAAGGGAGGTGGCTGTCCACGCTACCCTCTTCTTACTGGGGGTGAGCTCACTCCTACTGGGCTCCTCTTGATGCACAGTCCAGCCCTTGAGAGCAAGGTGTAACACCTGTGTGCTTCACTGGATTATTTTTGGGATGTGGCTTGAAAGTTGCAGGGTTCTAAGACATGTGCATCACAGCTCTCTTAGTGATGCTTTTTTTTTTTTTTTACTGATTCATTCATTTAGTCAACAAACATTTAAAGAGTGTCTGTAAGACTCTACATAAGTCCACTATGTTCACATACTCCTGGGTTTCTAAACTAAAATACACCTTGAAGTACTTCTTCCATGGGCACATGTAAATGAAAGCTTATTTTTTTTAATCCTGGTAATTTGACTATTGATTTCATGGTTAGCAGGATTCTTCCTCCAAGGATTTCATAAATCTTTTGTTTTTTTTAAGATTTATTTATTTTAGAAGGGGAGGGGCAGAAGGAGAGGGAGAGAGAGTCTCCCCAGGCAGGGGGCTCAACCTCACGACCCTCAGACCATAACCCGAGCTGAAACCAAGAGTCAGACGCTTAACCAACTGCGCCACCCAGGCTCCCCTCCTTTATTAACGTTAATTTGGAAATCCTCCCAAAATCCACAAGAAGATTCGGACTTAGGAAATTAAGGCTGAAGGTTAAGTCCCTCAGGATATAACATGAGCTTGGATATTCTTCAAAATCAGCAGAAAAAACCCCCACAACAATCTGATAGAAAGGATTTAGTGATTTTCATTTGTCATGGCTCACATCAGTTAGAATGGCAACTTAAACCTTTTATATATGAATTCAGTGAGATTAATTACCACTTAATGCAGTCTAGGAATCTAAACACTTGAGGCTATCTATTAACATTCATAAGACACAGTGGAAGAGTTAGCAACAAAGTTATTCACAGGGAACTTAATTCTTTATGAAAAACTCTATCTCTATTAATCTCTTGAGGGATGGACACATTTTCAGAAAAACAGCTCACCATGTAATTTTGTTAGTATAGGAGTATTGCAAAATGCAAAGACAAGACATTTCCTCTTGTCTCTGCACTCTTGGATGATTCTGCTTTTCCCTGGGAGCCTTTGAGAGTCATTAGACACCAACAGGTATCAGGCACATGCCACCTTAACACATATTTTAAAATGTTTTTTTACAAAAGCCTAAGAAACTCATAAGCAGTAATTTTGTTGTTTCTGAAAGGGAGAGAAATCGTGGGAAGAGACAGTTCCTCTGTCGTGTCTCCTTTGCTCAGCCTTTGGTGGGAGCTTATGAAATAGATGTGGTTTTGACATAATAACTTAGAGCAGATAATTCATCTCCACAGGACCTTCTTTGGTCATATAGTACCGTGATTACCACGTGAGCATTGAACTTCATTTCAACCTGATTTTGGTTTCAGAGGCATCCCTTTTCATATCCACATTACAGCCCATGTTTCTCTACTAATTTTCTCATAACAATTAAAAATTGGCAGCAATATTCCTGCAATTCTCTTGACTAGACTGCTCCTTGCTCAGTTTTGCTTGCTCACACCGTCGTTCCCAACTTGTTTCTAGTTCCCTCTGTCTTCTCTTACTACATGCAGACAATTGACAGGTACATTTTTTCTAGAGCACTGCCTTCAACACGGTCTTTTATATAAAAATTTTCATTAAGGCCCGGCTGCATACAGATAGACTGTTTAAAACCTTCCATAAAGTGGTTCTGAGCAACATTCCAAACATGACCAGGTACCCACGGGTCCAGCCAGACTGCGTGGCCTTTGGCATTTATCCTACAGAACCTAAGAGATCACGGATCCCACTGCTTTTCTACCCTCAGTGTACTTAAAGTCACTTCAGGTGCTTTTAAAAAAGACCTTGGTATTCCTAGGCCAGACCTCATAATAGGAAATTCTCCATGTGAGTATGACAGCCATTCAGAATTGATAATTATGGGTATAATTCATCCTCCTCGATTTACAGCTGGAGGAAATGAGACTCTGAGGACCTCGGCGATTTGCCCTGGTCCATGCAAGAAGGCCGGCCTCACGGAGGTCTTGTGCCTCTCAGCCGGGCATCCGTGCCAAGCCGCTTCACAGACGGCTTTCCCCTCCTCTCTGCCCCGACTCACCAGCTCAAAGCATGATCCCGCATCAGACCTCCTAAATACATAACAAAAGTGGAAAACAGAGATATGTTCTCTTTCTTATATGTTGGTTTTCTTCCTGCATCTCTGTAAGGAAAAAAGACGGCGGAGTAATGGCCGTCCGGAAGCCCTGTTCTGGCCTCCAAAGGGGCAGCTGCCCTTTGTTCTTCAGCTCAACATTCCAGAGTATCTGGGCTCCAGCTCACTCTTCTTCTCCAAGGCCCCAGCGCAGCACAGAGGGGCCCCTGCCCCTGCCTCGCGGAGGGGGCACGTCCCTCCACCCGTGAGCAAGCAAGCGTCGACGCTTCCCGTTTCCCAGTAGCTGTTTGTTGGACACTTACTCTCTGCTAAGGACACAGTAAGTGATTCTTGCATTCTTTATTTTAATTCTCTTTAAGTATAATGGATTAGGCGTAATTACTGCCATTTTTAAGATTTAGATGACAATACCGGCAACCAACACCCGAATAAAAATAGATTTCGAGAGCTAAGGGATGTGCGCCCAGCACACAGCTACTGTGACACCAGCATTCTCATCTAGAACTTCGAATCTGTCTCGTTCCACGCGCCGGCCACACTCAGCACGTCTGCGTTCACTCTCTTAAATGTGAGGCGCTCTGAGACCTCCTTCATAGGCAAGACCCATGTCTTACTAATCTTCTTTTATCCCAGTGATCTGTACATAGTAGAAATTCAATAATTTTAGTAAAGTGACCTGTACATAGTAGAAATTCAGTAATTGCTAAATTAATTTAAAAAACAAACAAACATGACTTTACTATTCTTATTCCTAATCTCTGTAAATCTTAAATAAGCATTTCAGTATCCTAATCGAGTTAGAGGTAGGTAATATTATCATCCATTTTATATCTCCATTTCTACAGCTCTTTCAGTATTATAGAAGTAATCCTAAGGAAGACAGAAGCATCCTAACCTTTAGAATCATAAGAAAATGACAAGTATAGTTTTTATTTATTGAGCACGTCCTACTTACCAGGTACCGCTAAAGCAGTTTCTCTACCTTAACTCTGCATAGTAGTTAGAAGCACAAACTCAAAACCCAGAAGGACTGGCTTCAAATTCTACTTCTACCCTTTACTAGTTGTGTCTCTTGAGGCAAATTATCAGGTACACAGTAGGTACTATATATGTTTTGGCTTTTATTAGCTTGTTCAA